TCGCTCTTAGGTTGGAGGCCATCGCTCTTAGGTTGGAGGCCATCGCTATTTGGTTACAGTGTCTCCAATCACCGTACCTGAGAAGGTTCGACTGGATCCCTACAATATATGCATAATATGCACCATGGGTTGTGGTCTATATATTCCCTCGTCCGGGTCAAACAGGGGCCTCCCTATTCTGATACATTCCCACGTGGGTAAGCAGGGGTGCTCTCGGTGCTTCCGGCGATTGTCACCTTTGTGGAACTCGTGGTCGTGCTGTACATGGATGCGTTAGAGTTTGTCCGCCATGTACTGAGTTTGTCGTGCAGTTGTTGAAGGAGATGGGAATCCTTAAAAGATGAGACGTGTCGGGGTATTTCCGAACATGTTTTGGTTTTGCATCGTGCTGATAATTCTTGAAGGCAAGAATCTCACAGTTGAATATAGAAGCTTTGAGCCTGTCTTTCTGAGGTTCTGCCTTGTGCTTTGCCCTGGGCCTTTACAGGAGCTGATGATCGTCGGTGAAAAGGGTAGAAAAGTGGCTTGGTTTGTGTTGAGATCAATCTGAGGTTCGGTTGATGTGATTGTGGGTGTATTTGCAGATCTCCAGTCTTTTCATATCTTTGTGTTATTTTGTGTGTTTTGTCTTGGCTTTCGGAGAAAAAACAAGTGTCTCGATCACAACAGGGTGGGAAGCCACTTGCAAGCGCAAGCTTGGGGGGAGCATGGGCTCACTTGCAAAATATGGAATCCAAAGAGGAACACACGTTTTCCTTAACATTCTCCCCAGTCGGGAAGTACGTTGGCGCACCTGCAGGTCATCCAGTTTTGTCGGGAATTCGGCACATGAGTCCCACAAAAAAATAAGCAGGTGAAAACATATATATATAATTCAAACGATATATGATGATGGTTATTTATAACGTTAGTAAATGCCTTTCTCTAAAATATTGATGTTCTTGTTTGCTGACTGTTAGTTACAGGTAATTAATAGGACAGACCCAAGGTTAACCTTTACCACCGAAACGGCTCAGGAGCCAGGCTGTTTGACAGATTCGAGGATGGAAACTCTATGAAGCAGTCGACAGTGGCCAAGTCGTAGAGTCGTAGAGGATGGAAATCGCTATTAGGTTGCCATCGCTAGTAGCTTGGAGGCAATCGCTCTTAGGTTGGAGGCCATCGCTAGTATGGATATACTCTAATCCTGTCCAACTTGATTTAACAGGGAGATGTTCTGTTCATCCAGCAAAGCATCGTTCCACAACCAGACACCCCATGGTTTGCATGGCAATACAACAGTCTTGTAAAGAACATATATATAAGTCAACACACATGTGACAGCACACAGAGCACACATGGAAGCGCACATCTAAGAGCACCTCATTCATCAACATATTCGTCAACAAGCCCTGGCCACAGATATGAGTGGTGCTCTCTCAAAACAAAAGCACAATAACACACACACACACACCTAGCACTTCCAATGGGTGCCCAATGGAGACCTATAACTAGGGCAGAGTAGTCTATTGGACACCCAGACAGGATGACCCTGGCACACACCCGCGCACACTTCTTGGAGCCACACGACAACTTTAGAGCCGTCATCTTTGTTCCACGGGCCGAGTGCCGTCCCGCTCAAACACACCTGACACCCAAGGGGTTGCCGGGAGACCCATAAGTCGAATATAAGTCGACTAGGCTGGTTTCATCCGGGTTCACCCTTACTGTTTCGTCCTTCCAAAAGCGATCCAGAAGCCGAGTCGCTCCTCAGTCGCTCCACACACGCAGGAGTCGCTCCTCGCGCACCCCGCTCTCGCCCCCGAGTGCTGGGCGTTGGCGCAGACGCGATGTGGGCAAGTGCGGAGGTGACCGAAGTAGCCCCTTGGGTCACTTGACGAAAACACGGTCTATCAATGGTCTATCATGAGCATTTGATCCTAGACGTGTCTAGAAGTCATTATTTGACATCTGGCGTTTGATCGTAACTTGTTTAATTATGTTCCACTCAATGATTGGACATCAGCGTTTCGTCGTGAGAAAACCAGCATTTGCACGTTGTTTAACATCCCTCTTGCGTGACTGGGATGATAGAATCATCCAGGGATCGGATTGACCAGTATGACCTTCCCTTTCAAAGAAATCATAGTGTTATCCACCCGTCCTGTTGTCATGTTTGTCATGTTGACTGTTGATGAATAAAACCAATTATTCTAACCAGAAGGATTTACGCTTGAACGGAAGTAAATCACATCGACTCTTAATAGATCTGAATGGTTGATGAATATAACACTTCTACCAGAAGGTTTTTTACATCTCCTCGATGGGGGGCCTTATGAATCAACTGTCAACATTTAGCGTTCACCGCTTTGACCAGGTTCAAGTTTTTTTGTGGGGTCATCCTCATACGCAGGAAAGTGGATAACCTGCAAAACCTTTGTCATAAACAGGTGGAAACAGGTTAATGTAGACTATTGAGGATATTTCGACCCCCCCATGTGAAAAGGTTTGACAATCCATCAAGGTCCGCGCTAGACACCTCTCACAGTTTTTTGCAGTTGACATGCCTTCATGTTTAACATTCCTGCGGTTTGAGTGTTGTTGGAGTTTAAAGGAAATTTAGAAGCGGGCCCCCATGGAATTGCGAAGAGTGCATCATTTGGGGAAAATACATTTTGGACACCAGCCATATACCTGGACCCTCCAGTTTGTACCCTAGAAAATAGAACATAACCCATGACCCAAACCAAACACATGTATGACCGGGGCCAATTTTCCAAGATACAGGTCCACTTTAAGTTCTCTCCAACAATCATGGAAGTGGATAACGGCCTGTTTCTAAAAACAGTCTTTCAGACGTGGGGCCGTGTTCCACGTCACCATGTTTGTTGGATGGTTTGTTATACCCTAGGGATCCAGTCGTACCTTCTCAGGTACGGTGATGTGTGGAGACACCGCGACATGTAGGTGCCGTTGTCGGGTCCAGTCGTACCGAACCTGAGGTTCGGTACGACAACGGATCCCTAGGGATATTTTCTCTTGATCCGCTGGGAGGCTATAAGTCCTATGGCGTGGAACCTTCGCAGGTTGATCGTGTTGATTTTCTCTCAGGTTGTGGCTGCCGCTGCGCTGGTGTCACTGGTGGGTGTGGGACCCTTAGGAGTGCAGTGACCTGGTGCAGGTGTGCGAAGATTCGCCAAATGCTGACGGTCAGCAGCTGACCTTGGAGTTTTAAAGATTCCTTTGGGTTTAAATTGGGTGGGGGGTCAGGTCGTGAAAAGAGGTGGTAGCCAAGTAAATGAAGTAAGTATGTAAGTAAGCAAGAGGAACCAAGTAGAAATAACTCATAGGGAGGTAAGAGTAGTAGCTAAAGGAGTTATTAAGTAGGAAACGCTACGCAGTCTTTGCTCACTACCCCGCCTGAGGTGGGGGGACCCTTCCCTTGAAACACCCATCGCATGATTGATTTGGTTCCTAGATCTTTTAGGGAAACTTGTGAACGATGCAGTCACTCGAAAGCTGGTCTTCAACAGTCAAAGCATGGCATGCCAATGGTTTTCTCGTCGCTGCGTTTGCAGGCGATTCAGGGCCTACGACGAGGTGCTTTGAAGAAGGTGGGGCAATGTGCTTGTGATTTGTGCAGCATCAAACAGTGGAGAACATGCCGCCAGAAATTTATTGCAAAAGCAATAGAAGCAAAAGGATCTCCAGGCTGGCAGTCGCCATGCTGTAGCCAAAGACCATCACAGTTGTTTTGTTTGACATGTCATGATGAACGAAACATGATCAGACCATACAAACAGTTCCCCCCACATGATCATGCATGCCTATGCACATGCCTGGACTCCCACCATCTCCCAAGTACCGTATAAGAAAATTGGACCTGACCCGAACAGACAACACAGGTATACCTTCCCTGGTCGGGATCCGCACGGAACCCGACCAGTTGGGGCGTTGGGTTCAATAGCAGGGGTCCGATTTTTTTTTGTCGGAAGCCTTTTGCATTTAAAGAGAAGGGCCCGGATTCTTCGGGGCGAGTCGAAGCTCGCTGAACTCGGGAGATTTTTGGGAGATCGCATGCGTAGGAAACGTGATCTAATTGTTTTGAGAAACGAACAGGTCGACTCCAGTTGGTGTGTTGGTGTTTGAATACCTTGGACCCGAACCCAAACGAAGGGGTCGAACCCTTCTATAACAAGGGTTTGGGGGCCCCGAACCAAACCCTTGATTTGTTTCGGGTGCGGATCCTTAGGGTGATACGAAGTGGTCGCCGATCGCTGAGCTCGGAGCTCCTCGGTGCCTCGAGCCTCGCACCAACGAGTCAGGAGTTGTTGGAGCTCATCAGCACCACCCAACGTGGCAGTGACGAGTCCCAAAACGCGGAGGTTCAGAGACTGTGCTGCTGGCCACGATTTTTTGAATGCCACGAATTGGGGAACATCGACTGGTTTCACCACATATGTTCACACCCCAAACGATAATCTTCACTTGAACATCCTTGAACCAATTTCTGAGATCTGGCGGTGTGGATCTGTTGCAGGAAGTTGGGAAGGGCTGAGTTTGTTATGCTTCGTGGGTACGCGTCGTGTCCAGTCAGCATGCTGGCGCCGTGGCATAGAAGAAAGAAGAAAGGAACATAAAAGAAAGACACAACGAATGAATGAAGGCACTTGTCAAGATTCGTCTGTTTTCACCTCAAAAAGGCGACTCGGGACCTCGCCAGGTTCACCGACCTGGAAGGCTTGAGCCCCATCAGCGAGCCTTTGTCGAGCCTGAAGCTGAGGCTATGTCCATCGCGACCCATGGGATTGGAAGAGTCAGTAATACATTGGGGTCAATGTTCATGGGGTAATGTTTAATCAATTTTATAGTAATAACTGTTCCATACATGGACCAATGGATGGTTTGGGCATGGGTGTTTCTCCAAAGGAGGTTATCCTATTCCACACATGGAGTGTCTGGGGGAATATCTCTGAATCTTCGCTCCAACAAGGGAGGGGGGATCAATTTTGTTGGGTGCAAGATGCTGCAAGTCTGTTCCCATGAAAACTATGTGCCCTTCAGGAGTCAATGCATGTCAACATGGTTTCATCACCCTAAGGATCATTGGACCCTCCTATGGAGGGTTTTGACCCTGCATAGCAGGGGTTTGGAGCCTCAAAACCTTCACCTTTGAGGGTCCTTGATCCTTAGGGCAGGAAGATTCCGTTGGTGTATGTTGATTTCACACCCAGATCTTCACCTTCCTGGCTGATCTGGCAGTTTACCCCAGTCAATGCGTAGGTTCGTTCAGACATCCGAGGTGATGAGTTGCGTGGTGACTGGGAGCTCGTGTGGACGCGCCCCGGTGGAAATCTACTCTTCGGGCCGATCTTCGCAGCTTGGGACACTCGACTTTCAACATGTGACATGAACTTATAGTATGCTCCAAATACCTTCTGAGGAGGTGTTTGGGGTGGGTTCTTAGAGCGCTAGGGATATATACCTAGACCCGACTTGAGGTACCTGAGAAAATGGGCACGTGACCCGAACTCAAATCAGGTACGACTGGGGCCTCCTATTTTCTGGGGTACGAACGGGTCGACTCCAGGTAGAAGCAGAGTGACACAGACATACCAGACACGACACATGGGACTGCCAGATATGCCGATCACTTGGGGTGATTTGGGGGGTCAATGTAAGCATATATGGTTGTGAAGTAACTTTGGGACATGGATAAGACATCATCTCAACATCATAAGATTAATGTTTTAACATAGAAAGACATACACTGAATGCACTGGACACGGATCACTAAACCTTACATCAACGCATAGGACACATGTTTTGCATTTGGTGTGTGGGTCACAACCGGGAGGAGTCTGTGTTCTTTTCCATCGCACATGCAAAGAATAGAATACGTTACTACAAAAAGGGAGGTCAACCTAGTCGTTGAAATCGGGGGTCGTTGAATTGATTTGGGGGGACCGGGGACGCGCGGTGTGCCGTGCCGTGCCGTGCGAGGACCAGCGCTGCCATCTTGGGACTGGGACGACCGGGCTTCTTAAAGCCCCTCGAGGACGGGACTAGTGGGATGGAAGGACCTGGAAGTCTTGCGCTCTACTGGGTCATCCCTGACCAGCGCTGCCAAGTCTGCACATCGTGCACGGCACAAACCCTCTGGGTCATCAATAAGAAACCATTGCAGCTTGATTGTTCCTATAAGGCCAGTTTCGCCCCGGAACTCCTCGCGTCCGCACGCTCGCGGTCTTCGGCCCGTCCTTGCTCATAGTAGCGTTATACTGATGGCTTATAAGCAGAACGTACCAAGAACTGTTTGTTTCGCTTCTGTTTCTCCTAAAGATGTGACTGATTGGTCCGCCCTGCCCCGCTTGGTCGACCACTTCGCCGGACAAAAACTGAGGGTGTTGTGTGCGTTTCGTCTTTTCCCTTCCCAGACCGTGCATGTATGGAATGATTATAGTTACATGATAGGGTCGTAAAAGGGGTTGACATGATGAAACACGTAGCTATACGTTCTGTTCTATACACGTATACCAGCATCCTCACTGCCCCTGTCATGACCTGCAGCGTCGTGACCTGTGCAACGTGTATCGTCGTGACCTGGTCGTCGACTGCGAACACGAGTCGACTGGTCCCATCGGACAGGATCAGCCCATCCTTCAGTTCCTGGACCCCCAGGCGCGTGCCTCCGCGCATGGGGCATGGGTGCAGAGTCGCATGGGTGTGCTCCAACATGAGTCCGGAAAGGGACCACAAAGGGACCACAAAGGTGAAAAGACTACTTGCCTTTTGGTGCATGTCCGAGCAGCGAGATGACCTGGACTCGACCTGGAACCTGTACCTTGGAAGCACGGGGAACACGTCGTACTCGAAGTTTGTTCGAGTCAAGACCATCCATGTATGGAATGTATGCCTACAATGATCCCCCAACCCACCCCCAACTGATCGGCAAATATGGCAGTCCCATGGATGGTCTGGGGAGCGAACTGTATATGGGTCGGATTCGGTGGGTCGGTTGAGATGAGATGAGAACGTGATCTTCAGACTGGTGAGGATGACAGCCCTGTCTTTGAATGACATGGAATGACCATGAGCAGTCTTGGATGAAGTGCCGGACATTTCAGGCACTTCCTGACTTGGGTCATGGAGGGTTACGGGGTCACAGAGGATCGTTCCACTAACAATCCATGGGACTGGAATTGATTCCCTAGAGATCCCTAGAGGGCTTTTTTTGGCCCACGTCCGAAGGTCGTTGAACCGGGTTGGACCCAATCCACCCCATCTTCGAAATGGAGGTAGTTGGAGCGATAGGGTTTCACGATTTGCTTATTATAAGTTGGCCCTTCAATCCCTAACGATCCAAGTACCTTCTCAGCAGGTCCAAGTACCTTCTGAGAAGGTACTTGGATCTCTAGGGAATACTAGCTTACAACCACCCCATTTGTCACGACTGTCACGGCCAAGGGCACCTATCCCAGTCCCACATCCGACCCAGGTCAGAGCTTTTTGTAGACTCCGACCCTGGTCCCTTTACGAACTGCTCATCCTGGTCCCAACCCCCCCTAAATCCCCCTTGATTTTAGTATTCGTTTAATTGGGGATAGTTCCACGGATTGCTAAAGACTGGAATTTCCACGCACTGCAGGCTGGAGTGGCTCGGAATTTGGAGTTCACACCTCTAGGGTGCGGCCCTCGGGACACCATGAGACGATCTTAGACGACCAGCTTAGTGCGAACCATGAGATGTTGAGAAGAAAAGTAGACTATTGTAGAAGGTGGAAATTGGGTCCCTTAGATGACCGTTTCCTCTACAAACAGGTGGTGCCGTCCACTGCAATTACAACGAATGTATATTGCTTTTTGGTCATCGATATTGATCGCTCGACAAGGAAACACCACAACGACTGCTTGGATCGCCCCCGACCTTGAAGAACTGAGAGACGCCAGTCCACCGACTGGTCGCGAGTCGATTCGTAGCGGGTCGACTGAGGAGAAAGGCCCAGAAACTCAACCCGACAGCCAAACCTCCCGCACCAACCCCAGACACGACGAGTCTGGGACTGCCAGTCCGGACTGCCGCCCCACACAGACCCCAACTAACCACCACCCCTGGCCGGAACTCTCGGCAGTCCGGACTGGCAGTCCCAGACTCGTCGTGTTTGGGAACCCTAGAGGGATCGGTTAGAAACCTAAGGAGCTATCCAGAGCCTCGCGTCCGTCGCGCGGCCGCGTAGTGCGGCCTCGGCCTCGTTGCGATGGCCTCCACCCACGGTCGCTTGGAAAACATGTGGATGGCCGCTCCCTTCAGAAATTAGTGAAGGGTATAGGGTGACCCCTCCTATGTGGTATACCCCTCAAGGTCGGACTCTTGTTTCTAATGGCTTCTTGTTCCATTCGTAGTACAGCCAGGGTCGCCCCGTTCGGTTCTGCGTCCGATCATCGCTCCTTACCCCTCCAGGTCGGACGAACGGGTGGACGCCCGGTCGGGGAATCGCCTCAGGTGCAATCGGGTGGATGCCAGCATTGTGCCTTTGGGGCCGGGACAGCGAGAGGCGCTGTCCAAACACCAAGCCAGTCATGTTGCTTTCTGCCATATTCTGCCCAAGCCAAGCTAGCTGTTGGCGTGATTTTTGAATGTCCAAGCTCTGGCCGCCGTTCTCAGGCTTTTGTAAGTCGTCTCGACGACTTCCTTCTCTTCAAGCAGGGCGCGGAAGAGAAGCCTGGAGGAAGTTACCTTCCTCAGGCCCAGCGCGGAACATTGGAGAGGTTGGAGGCCATCGCTCTTAAGTTGGAGGCCATCACTCTTAGGCTGGAGGCCATCACCCTTAGGTTGGAGGCCATGGCTCTTAGGTTGGAGGCCATCGCTCTTAGGTTCCAGGCCATCTCTCTTAGGTTGGAGGCCATGGCTCAAAGGTCGGTGGCCATGGCTGTTAGGTTGGAGGCCATCGCTCTTGGGTTGGAGGCCATCGCTCTTACGTTGGAGACCATCGCTAGTAGGAGTTCCAGTTGGGAGTTCTATTGCTGATGCCGTTGTTTGGAAGGCTTAAATTCGGAAGTCAAAGTCTCAGAATCAACTTTCATCTTCACAAGTTGGCTAATACCTCAGGAAAAATATAACATACATTAACAGTTTCTTGCAGAAATATAGACCATTGACATCCATTGACCATCATTGTTCACCATTTCCAGATTCATGTATATCCAGGCCACAAATATTTGCATTAAAAAAAAGGTGTGGTTGAAAAGGGGTCTTTCGGCGGCATTGGTCCTTCGTTCACCGCGTGCCCGACGGGTCCGACGATTGTACCTGGGTCCCCGGGGCCCCGAGCCCCAGGCGGAGGGTCTCGAGAAGACGACGGTGGGCGTCCGCTTCAAGACCTTCACGTCACTGGGAGGACCTTCGCTTGGAAGGATTGTTCTGTTCGACCGGTGAAAGGTGTGCGTTTTCTCTGGGGGGGCCGAACAAAGGTGTTCAGACACATGCCAAACTGGCACAGGGAGTTGTTCACTGCACTTAGCACTAATGGCGCCGAAAGGTTCTTTTCTGGAGGTGCACGGAGTTAGCAATCGATCTGCGCAAATGACCCTGGGCTGAGACCCAACACCAATCATTGCCCAATTACCCTCCAACAAACATGCAAGTGGACAAGCCCCGTTGGTAGAGAAACATGGGCTGTGTAATTGGGCCATGTTCCACTTCCATGATTGTACGATTTGGTAATGATCATGAACTCCCCAAAAAACCGATCTTGACCCGACTTCGTTCGTACCCTTAGACAATGGGACATGACCTGAACAGAAAACAGGCATCGACTCACAGAGTCATGCCGACTCAGTGGGTCGGAACTCCGATCTCATCCACTCTAAACGGCCTTAGCACCAGCTGGCGCTCAGGTTGTTTGGGCTCATCCCTGTCCCAGCCCCCGAGAACGCCACGGGCATCCTACAGGCACGAACGGCACGGGGAAAGGGGCAGGGGGGGCTCGCTCGCCCTTGGTGGAGTTTTGTGATGCATTCATGCTGGTGACATCCGGTTAAATGCCAGGATTTGTTTCCCCCACCCTCGTTGAAAAGGCAGAAACCTTTGCCTGTCTTCACAAAGAACGCCTAAGCACGGATAAAGTTGCCCTGGAGCACAATAGGCAGAAATTTCTGCCCAAGAGGAAGTTCTAGGTATCAATCCAAATCAATTTGTTGGGTGAATCCGCTCGGCAGAATGAATCACCAGAGGGACAGCTTTCCCAATTACTGGTAGATCGTGATTTAGGTAATGGGTTTGTTTATTGGGAGGGTGATCAGATCCTTATGTTTGTTTATCCATTTGTTCAACAGCAAAGACACTCACGATTGGATTCATCCTGGGGAGGCCTCCTGTTCTCATGCAGGTATGAAGCCGCTTCCTCTTAGACATTCCACAGACCATTCCACTCTCCTGGTGTACCACAGAACACACACCCATCACATTAGCAGGCCTTTTCTCTTTTTGCATGACCGATCACCTCCATCACAGCGCATGCTCCATCTTCCTCCAGCACAACGACTTCGCCCCAAAAAAAGGTCCTCCCTGTGGAACCTATTCGGTGATGGAGGCCTCCTTACCCTAGGGATCCAAGGGCCTTCTGAGAAGGTGGGACTGGGGTGGGTGCCATGTTCGGGTCCAGTCATACCGAACCTGAGGAGGTACGAAAACGGATCCCTACAAATTAGATGATTTTGGGCCTCCTGAGCCCGTTTCAACGGTCTGAAAAGGATTGCACGGATTGCACGGAACATATGAATTCGGTCCTCCTCCCACGAAAAGGCTGCCACTGCTTTGTCCACCCAACTACTGATTGTAGTGAGGGGGGAAACGGGGAAGAATGCCCAAGTGACAGGAAGAACACCTACGCAACAAGATATTAAAGCAAGGAAACAAAATAAAGACTCATGCAAAAGAGAAACATGAAGTGAGTTCCTGATCAACAAATGCAACTCCTCACTATGGAAGCCCCTGGAACCAGTCATGGGTGGATCCCGTGAGCATTGCCACCAAAAGGACAAGAACACCGGGGGGGCAAGAACGCCTTAGCACAGACAAATGCGCCTTTAATTAATTACTCATAATAGGCATTATATAGGGATCAATTGGCAGTGCAGGGTCATGTGCCTTTTTCGCTATTCAAGGGCGCCCTCATTGGCTGGTCAACACCTCACCCTACAAACCGTGGAAGGTTGACATCCCTTGTAGAGGGATTTGTTAATGTTCGATGGTTAACCAGGGTTTCCTATGTTTAGACCCACAGCCAATTCGCAATCTACAAGTCCAAAGACCCAGCAAAAACATTGTATTTTACCTTGTTCAGTATTGCCAATTGGTTTTGTATGACCATCTCCAGAAAAGTGAGGTCAAACTGACCTATAGCCCTAGGGATCCAAATACCTTCTCAGAAGGTGATGTGTTCGACACTGTTATTTGCTGGTGGTCCCGTCGTACCAAACCTGAGAAGGTACGACTGGATCCCTAGGCAACCCAAACCCGCTATTAGGTTGGAGGCCATTGCTAGTAGGTTCAAGGCCATCGCTAGGGGCGGTTGGAGGCCATCGTTGGAAGGTCCTGGTAGGGATTGACGGTTGGCTTCAGTTCCCGGCTCCAGGTGACCTACTTGGACGATGACCTTCGTCTCAGCCGAGGCAGCGTGCGAGCTCTTCCTAGAGCGCTTCCGAGCTCGACGAGGTTTGAGAGATGGAAAGCATGATCAGAGGTAACACATGTGGGTTTGTTTTTTTAGTATAGAGGGACCTCCCCTAAATGAAGGTGCTGTAAAGGTGCCGGGATTTGTGCGCAAAGTGCAAGTGAAAGTGGGGGACCTCCCTATTGCAATGGATCTGAAGATAGTGCCGTTTTAGACGTTGAGGTCAGTGGGGGTTCCCTACGGGGTGTGCCTCGTAAAGTGGTGATTCAGGGTGTCCAAAAACCACCGGACTCGGAGGGTGCTGGAACATGCTGGAACATGGTCTTTGGTTTCTTTCTTTGACAACGACTAGGTTCCAATCGCCATCGCTAGGGGCGATGGGAGGCCATCGCTTGTTGGTTTTTGCTTGCAAGCAGACCATGGCGGCATGGTCCTGTTCCATGTTCCACTTCGCAGCCTTCCGAGCTCGTTCGGCACACCACGGCGACGTGTGGCCTCTCCCAGAGCATCCATGCTATGGAATACCTCTAGACACGACCTACATGGGACTGACATATTTACTTTCATGGACCCTTGAAATCACCCAGCCCAATGTGAGTATAATGTATTATAAAATAAATATATGATATAGTAGGTATATTCCACATAATGCAAACATAGGATTAGGCAACCCCCCCTATTAGTCTACCCAGCGTTACAGGCCCCAATAATAAACTAATTTGAACTATGAATTTCCACAGTCACCACCCTCTAATATTTTTTTTTCTTGGCTGAACCCCCCCCTATTAGTCTACCCCCTGTCCCCCCAGGAAAAATATAATTATTCAAAAATATATTAGTTTTGTATTTGGGCTCTCATGGATCTCATCATTCCATCCCATCTCATCTCCTCCTCCTGTCATCATCAGGTCATCCCCACTATTAGGGGGATGTGATCTCCAAACCCTCCAATCTCAGACCTTGTTGACCTTGTTGACCTTCAAGGGGGTGGGGGGGGGCCCGTTGATTAATCCGAGGATTACATGGAATATTTGGGAGATAATAGGTTACCGGGACTCGACCGTGTTGGTAAATCGGAAACACAATTGAATGTATGTGTTTGTAGACAAATACAGCCATACCTGGAGTGGACCTGTTTGTAGCTCGTAAAGGCAGTTGTACCGGTCATGTCCCATTTTCTATAAGGTATAGCCTGAGACACCAGGTACCGATTCGTGTATGTTGTTTCGGGTCATGTGCCATGTTCTACAAACAAAGTCGGTTGCAGGTACATACCCCACAGCTTCAACCTCCTCACCAGGTAGTTAGACCCCCTTAATCCATCTTCACCCACCCCCGTCCCACCGAACCTAGACGGAGGGGGGCGGCCAGGAGCCCAAACGGGATCCAATGACCCCATTGATTCGACCAGAAGTGTCACTCTTCCAACTCCGCGGTCCGGGTCGGCCTTGGGTCTGAGGGCGTCGATCGAAGGGCATCGATCGGGTGAAGCGGCAGGAGATCGCGGGAATCTCTTTGTCTTGAAGAAAGTGAGTTCCGAGCTGAGTGCCTGATGAGTGGCAAATCTGGAGAAGAATCTTGGAGATCTTTCTGGAAATCACTGAAATTTTTGGAAGTTCAGGGCCAAGTCCTTCCCACTCTGGTGGGTCCGCTTCCTGTCCGAATGTGTCAGGGAGCACGTGTACGAATTCCTATTGGATTTGAGCACGTGCACCGTCTGGCTGACGACTGCATGCTTGTACGCAAGATTTTCGGAGATCAGACAATCGCGTCTCCACATTCCTGAACAGTGCTGACACCATAAAAGTGAGTCGCATTTCATGGTGATTTGAGAAGATATACCTGGACCTTCAAGGGGTGGTAGACATGGACACCCCTTATATAACTAAACGGCTAAGGGGCTATAAATATAGACACCCCGACAGGAGGGTCCTGGTATAGAGGATGATTCCTCACATTCCAGCAAGCCCGCATGTTTCAAGCAGTGTCGATGCCGAACCACTTACAAACAACAAGTCGCCTGCTTGGCCGCAGGAAGTACCTCAGATCTGGGGTCAAACGTCGAAATCGTCGGGTTCGCACCAGCCCCACGGGGTTTGGAGCGTTCGGACAACTGCTAGGTGGATCCAAGTACCTTCTGATTGGGGTGGGTTTGGAGGGTCCAAGTACCTTTTGAGGAGGTACGAAAACGGATCCCTAGGGTAGTAGCTTGGTGGCCATTTCTATCGCGTCGCGTTCGGAGCCGCTGCCCAGACCGAGTCAATGGACGGGTGCTGGATGGTGAAGACACGTCTTCACCAGGGGTGGATCCGCATCCAACTTGGGTGGGTGGGTGATCGACTTGATTCAAGGACTTGGGTCATCTAACACTCACTTGGTCTGAACGTTCCTATGAACGTTCGTGGTTTGCCTTGCATGCACTGGGAACCTCAAGCAGAGGGAGTTGGATCTGCGATGGAGACATTGAACCTTCTTGCACAACATGCGGATGGGCTGGGGGTCATCCTGGGTCATGTTGTTTTTTTTCCACTCACTTGGTTCTCAGACCACTTCCATCAATTCCTCCCAGCTCACGTTGTGAAAACGAGTTGACAGCCAGGGGCATGCTGCAGTTGTAAGCCTCCTCTTGGAGAACAAGGCCGATGTCACTCACTCCTTCGACGAGGCGATGGCAGACGAGTCCGCCAGCGACACCTAGGGATAGTTACGAAAGAGTTGTTGACAGGTTCAAACATGTTCAAAGACGATTCATTTTGACATGAGGATCAACCAACCAACTTGCAGCATATCCATTTCACAAGCATAGACTGGCCAGCAATGGCATGCATCTTGGTGTCCCACCCTCAACCAACCAAGGGCGGCGGCCAGCGCCGTTTGACCGCCTATGAGCTGGCGGAGAGGGCTGGGCACACCAAGGCAAGATGGAGAAGATGGGACCAAAAATATCCCTCAGGAAGTACTTTCACCTCCAAGACCATCCTCAGGATGGTCCTGGACCCTTAGGGTCCTTAGGGTATAATAAGAATTGAAGAATAGCCACCTAACTGCTATAACCGAGCTCATCAAGTGATTCTCAGATGGTGATGTCCACAGTCCTTCGATGACTAACATGGTAAACATGTTAACACTAGTTTGATTCTTGCAAGCTGAATGCTGGAACGATCTTTTGAAAGGAAAGGAGTTGAATGGAGTTGCAGGGCCTGTAGGGCAACAAAAACTCATCCCAACAGGACCTATTCAGAGACGCCTTTTGTATCCTTTTGTTGTATCCCCTGATGCCCCTGCCAGGTTGCGACGATGTTGATGTCGGCAGCCCAGATCGAGCGAAACGAGGACATGCCGAGACCACTTCGGAACACGTTTTGTGTCACGTCTTTAAAACTTAGGATGCACAGAAGAAATCCTTAGGATGCAACAGGTGTCACTAAGCTTACTGGGCAATCCCCTCTCAACCAACATCCCATTGCTGGAGTTGGATGGTGTGCCTCGTCCCATCCGACGGGGTGGATGCGACGTGACCGGGCACCCTGCTCCGTGACCCTTCGTCCGTTCGACCGTTCGTTCACTCACCACTCCCGCGCGAGCGGTCCCATGCTCCGTGTGAACGTCGAGCCGAGCCGAACCGTTTCGGTGAGGGTCGGAAAGGTCGAAAGGTGCCCGGTGCCCGGTGCCATCGCTGGAAGCTGAAACGCCCGGTCTGGTGCCGAGACCCACCTGGACCCTGAAAAAAAGGTAAGTGAGTTGGTCTTCCGAACATCGTCGAACATTAGGATGAATTCTCAGAGTTCCCATGGGGGTCCGTCTGCCGGGAAGGCTTAACTCACTCCAACCGAATAACGATGGCCTCCAACCTAGAAGCGATGGCCTCCAAACTGTCCCCGAGGTCGGCGCAGATGGCGGGCAATTGAGTGTAGACTTGGCCATGCTGCACTGAGCTGGCCATGCACACGCTGCCCCTGAAGAGGGGCTCATGGTCACTGGAACGCTACAGGGCGCGTTTGATGGGGAGAAGGGTACCAGCTGAACCAAGTGGGTTCAGGCTGTCAAGTGCTGCTGTTCTTCATTACTCAAGCTGTTGCCAGTTAGGTTCTGTGAAGAGTGTTCAGGAATAGTTTGATGTTATTTTTGATCACGAGCTGTTCTGCTTTTGGATGTTCGTTAATTGTGTGTGTTTTCTTTTTTGTTTATGAGATTTGTGATTGTGTTGCTGACCTTCGCATCAGTCAATGCATGGGTTTTGGCGCCTCAGCATCAGCCCATGTCTCACTGCGTTGCTTTACAGGACATTCCAGGGACGAGGTCAAAACAAGCCGACTGAGCAACCTGGACCCTCCAAAATACCTTAGAAAATGGGACGTGACCCCAACAGCAACATGTACCTGTACCCATTGTTCGAGGTATCTTGAGACTCCACGAAGTTGCAAGAGATTCTTGTGCAACAATCGACCTGAAAGGGGCGATTTCTGGCTTTGCGAGAGCCATGTGGGCGCATATGTTAATAAGGAGACACCCTGCCACAATGGGTACTTGGGGCTGCAGTTTAGTACCTGTCCACGCAGGTGGTGGCCAGTGTCAGCAATGCGTACACTAGACACGGTCGATTAGTAGACTGGCCTATTTTCCAAACCTTCCAGGGGCGTCGTTGCCCAGCTCTCTGAGGTGGTCTCCCTATCTAATGAGCGATTTGATGACTCTGGAGAGACCTTTCAGAGCTATACCAGCACCACGGATTTCGGGTGTCCATTAATAGCCCCTTAGAGGTGATTCGGGGTGTCCATGAACCACCCTGACTGGGGGTCCTGGTACATGCGGACGTGGCCAAACTGAAGTGGCCCTGGTCCTCGATCTCTTGGCTCCCAGCTCTTCGCAATGCAGCGCGGTGCTCGAAGATCTTCCTCGCGTCGCGACACCCAAGACCATCGGTGGGTAAGATATGATAGATAAAACACAAGAGGCGATGGCCTCCAACCTTAATAGCAATGGCCTCCACACTACTAGAGAGGGCCTCCAACCTAATAGCCCAATAGCAATGGCCTCCAAACTACTAGAGATGGCCTCCAACCTAATAGCAATGGCCTCCAACTAGCAACGGCCTCCAGCCTACCTAAGAGCCATGGCCTCTAGCCTAAGAGCAACGGCCTCCAGCCTGAGAGCCACGTCCTCCAACCTAAGGGCAGTGGCCTCCAACCTAAGAGCAATGGCCTCCAACCTAAGAGCAATGGCCTCCAACCTAAGAGCAATGGCCTTCAACCTAAGAGCAATGGCCTCCAACCTAAGAGCAACGGCCTCCATCCTACTAGCAATGGCCTCCATCCTACTAGCAATGGCCTCCAACCTACTAGCAAGGTACTAGCATCAGCGTCCAACCTACTAGCAACGGCCTCCAACCTAGACCTAAGAGTGATGGCCTGCAACCTAAGAGCACTGGCTTCCAACCTAGGTGCGATGGCCTGAAACCTAAGATGGATGGCCTCCAAGAGAGACAGCGAAAGGCTGTGGTTCTTGGAATGCTTTACCTTGACACCCTCAGCAGTAGGACCTAGGCATGTTTGTACCTCAGAACATGGGGAAAACGTCGCGCCTGTTTTGTTTTCATGTACAATTTTTGTTTGGGCAGCAAGGAGAAGGAGTGTCCGGGTCCAGGTTGACACCGTTCCAAGCTGCTCCAGCACCGTTCAGAAGCACCTCATGGATCCATTCCTACAATCAACCCACCTCTCAAATAGGGTTCCTAGACGTTCTTGATCCTAAGGGGAAACAACACACTAGAACAAAACAACAACAACAACAACAACAACAACAACAACAACACAAACAAACAAACAAACAAACAAACAAGGTACAAACAAAAACTGCAGCTCCGATACAACAACCAGACAACATGTACTTTTACCAGTAGTGGTAGTGCTTGTGCTAGTTCTATTGCTAGTGGTACTAGTACTAGTAGGTCGTTGTTGTAGTGGTCGTAGTAGTAGTAGTCGTCGTAGTAGTAGTAGTAGTACTAGTAGTACTAGTAGTACTAGTTAGTACTACTAGTACTCGTACTATTATAGTAATACAGTAATACTACTAGTAGTAGTAGTAGTAGTAGTAGTAGTAGTAGTAGTAGTAGTAGTAATACTCTTAGTAGTAGCAGTAGTAGTAGCCTAGTAATACTAGTAGTAATAGTAGTAGCAGCAGCAGCAGCAGTAGTAGTAGTAGTACTAGTCCTACTAGTCCGGTCAGCTAAGCCTCTGTAAAACTTCTACTTAGAACCTCCACCACATCCTAGAGACAAAAACTGCAGCCCCGTCGTTGTTTTTTTGGATCCCCTCCCCTCAAGAGATGTTGTTGTCCCTACCCCCCCCTGGAAAGAAAATCTGCAGCCGCGTTGTTGTTTTTTGACCCCCCCCTCCAGAACAACACCCCAAAAGTCAAAAGAAACAAACAACAGGAAACAGACCAACCAAGACTTGAATACCACAACGACAAGAAGTCCAGCTACTAACATCTCTCCAAACCTTCGGCCCTATCCCTAACAGTGTCCCTTTGAAATCCCTGACTTGCAACATGTGACAACCAACAACAACAACAAGGTACAAACAAAAACTGCAGCCCCGCTACAACATATCTTGGTCCTTTGTCTCTACAAGGGGGTGGAAAGAAACTCTGCAGCCCCGTCGTTGTTTTTTGGACCCCCCCCGAAAACAATCAGCCAACAAGTACTTTTACCAGTATAGTGGTGGTCCTTGTATCGTTGTTGTAGTAGTCGTAGGAGGAGTAGTAGTAGTAGTAGTAGCAGTGGTAGTCTAGTAATACTAGTACTAGTAGTAGTCGTCGTAGTAGTAGTAGTAGTAGCACTAGTAGCGGGAGTAATAGTAGTAGTAGTAGCAACAGCAGGAGTCGTAGTCGTAGTCGTAGTCGTAGTCGTAGTCGTAGTGGTAGTAGTAGTAGTAGTAGTGGTAGTGGTAGTAGTAGTAGTGGTGGTGGTAGTAGTAGTGGTAGTAGTAGTGGTAGTGGTAGTAGTAGTAGTAGTGGTAGTAGTGGTGGTGGTAGTAGTAGTAGTAGTAGTAGCAATAGTCTTGGTAGTTGTAGTAGTTGTAGTAGTTGTAGTTGTAGTAGTAGTAGTAGTAGTAGCAGGAGTAGTAGTAGTAGTAGTAGTAGTAGTAGTAGTAGTAGTAGTAGTAACAGTAACCGGTCAGCTAAGCCGCTTTAAAACTTCTACTTAAATCTCTACCTTATCCTAGGACTCCCCCCTCAAAAGGTGTTGTTGTCTCTACCCCCTCCTAGAAACAAAGACTGCAGCCCCGTTGTTGTTTTTTTGGACCCCCCTCCAGAACAACACCTCAAAAACACTAAAAACGGACCAGTCCAGACTTCAATGAAACAAGTCCAACAAGTCCACCTACTTACGGAACCAACAATTGCTCAAACCTTCAACCGTATCACTAACCTTGTCCCCTTGAAGTTCCAAAGTTACCACATGTTACAATTATGTTGGGCGGCTGTTTTTGTTTCTACTACTACTAACAACAACAACAACAAGGTACAAACAAAAACTGCAACCCCGTTACACCACATCTTCTTTCTTTTTCTCTACAAGGGGGTAGAAACAAATTCTGCAACCCCGTCGTTGTTTTTTGACCCCCCCCCCCCAAAACAACCGGACAACAAGCACTTTACTGCTACTACTAGTAGTGGTACTGGTGCTACTACTACTAGTGGTAGACACTCCCCATCCCGGGACGTGTGGACAGTGCGCGGGGCATGTGCGGAGGCGGAGGGGGTGGAAACCCGGTTCTCAATCTATGCACTGAAAATCAGTCTTTTCTTGGAGACTCCTGGAAGTTTTTGGATTCCAATGGAACAATATGGTCGATTTAAACGCCTTCTTAGGGTCTATGAAACTCCTATGAGGGTCATGCTACTGGTGATGCTTATTGTAACTGGTTAAGTAAACCCTGTAAAACTTCTACTTAGAACCTCTACCACATCCTAGAGACAAAAACTGCAACCCCGTGGTTGTTTTTTGGACCCCCCCTTCCAAAAGATGTTGTTGTCTCTACCCCCCCTAGAAACAAAATCTGCAACCCCGTTGTTGTTTTTTGACCCTCCCCCCCAAAACAACATAACAAAAAACAAGAAGCAGACCAACCAAGACTTGAGTACCACAACGACAAGAAGTCCAGCTACTAACATCTCTCCAAACCTTCGACCCTATCCCCAACAGAATCCCATTGAAATCCCTGACTTGCAACATGTGACAACTATGTTGGGCGGCTGTCTTTGTCTCTACCAACAACAACAACAAAAACAACAACAACATAAAAGTAAAAATAATAAGCTACCTTACTGCCATATTTAAGATCTACTCGCGTCATCACCCAGTTCGGATGGTTATTGGGCGGAAAATCCATCTTCACACCTTCAGAGAGGGTCCAACAAAACTACCCAAACGCCCTTGGGTGGTTGTTGGCCATATACAACGTACCTTCCAAAAAACAACCTGGATACGTGCATTGTAACCTCTGATGCCCACGAAAGCATCCTCAGTGACCACGAAGTGCACCCTCTCCGCTACGCCCGAGGCTCGGACCGAGGATGGAGCTCTTGGGCGCCAGCGAGGCGTCACGGTGCGAGCGAGCCGCCAACCGACCCTATAGCAATGGCCGCCACCTGTTTTGGGCATCACAAAAGGACCTTTTGGTGCCAGGGGCCCTCAAAACTATGAAAAAAAACAATGGTTTTCACATGCAAAAACCATGTTTTTTGCTGTGGAAAACCAGGTTTGTGATGGTTTGTGGCAGGTGGGGCCCATTGTGGTTCGTGATCATCACGATCATCCAATCAGGGGCGCTATCGACCTTGGTTTTTGAATGGATCTTCAGAGGACACGCTGAAAGAAAGTCTTTCGAACTGCTGTTGCAGATGCTTTTAGGAAGGTGCAGAAGATCAAGTGCTTGGGGTGGTATGACAAGTTGGTCAACACGGGGGGGCAACTTGCTGGTCCGTCACAATCGAAACATCCACGAAGACACTGCAATTGACAGGGTTTGTCCATGACATTCCAACAGAGGTTGAATGACCCTATAGACTATCCCATAGGTACCCCAGTAGGGTCCTATAAGGTCACTTAACCTCTCTTGGTTTGGTGCTTTGAAATCAGCTTTTGGGATGTTATCGAACAAGTGGACGTCGGAGACGTGTGCAAACCGAGCCTCCAAGCTGCTCAGCCGGACGAAATCGTGATGACCACCAGTTGCTGATTGATTCACCCTAAGGCTCCAACCACCTCCTGAGGTTTGGTGATTTTGGTGTGTGCCAGGTCGAATACCACCGAACCTGAGGATGTTGGAGACTTAGGGTCATAACGGAGGGAATATTCCCAAGTGACCAACCAATAGGTATGCTACCAAATCGCCCCCTCTATTGATCCCTCAAGAACATCACGTCGGCGATGAGGATCTTCTGCAACCAATGACAATGTTGTGATAGCGATCACATGCCCCTCAGAAGGTATTTGGACCCTCCAAACCCATCCCAAACACCTTCTCAGAAGGCCCTTGGATCCCTAGGGATGAAAGTGTTGTGGTTTTTGGGGGGAACAATCCCCCTTAATTGACCCAACCAGATGATGAACCCACATGAAACATTGGGAAGACATATCCCAGAGCCAGACTTTGTGTCGTAAACTTTGTCACGCCTAAAGGCTCAGACAGAGAAACATGACGCATGTCAAGAGTTTTCAACGCGACTTCACATACCAAGATTCACACTCTGGGAACACAGTAAACCCAGTGTAAACCCAATCGATGAACCATATTTTTAGGATGCATTTATTTGGGACCTGACGTCAAGTATACCGTATCATGGGACATCACCCCCCTATTTGAAAAAAACTGGTATATTGTACCCAAGGTACTTTAAAACTCCAGATAGCCGGCCGCGCGGCGAGGATCCTGACAAGCTTTGCTCCTACAGCACAAAGCAGCAGGCAGGTGCAACATGCAAAATCAAAATAAGATGCCCCAACAACATGTTGGTGTTGGTTTTGTTTTATTCAACTATTCAGGTTCGTTTTGTTTATTTTTTGTCGTTCCTTTTCTTTGCTTTGTTTGTTTTCTTGTTTGTTTGGGACACTGAGGGAGAGCAGAGCTGCAGGGGTCGGATGCCGGTGGGATTCTTTGGAAGCGCTTGGGTGGGTTCAATTCGGACCAAAAAGGCTGATCCATATGCTGATCAGATAGTTCAGCATAATTCTGAAGACATCAACTTTCACATGCTGAAGTTTTGATCCGATTGCCATGCAGGTAGAGATCAGAGATAAATGGCTGGGCATTCTCCAGTGTTCGATGCAGGCACGCATGCGTGACATCGTTGACTTGTGCAGCTTGAAGATTATAGGCGGTTATAGATTTGTAGAGGCAGTAGAGACCATGCCCAGCTTGCAGTGACAGTTCCTTCTAAACATGTCCGCGTGCCTTGCATTCCAGACTGCCATGGTGACGTACATTGTCTTTGGTATCTTCATCTACAATCAGGGCTATTTGGACTATGAGCCATCTCGAGGCAGGCGTCCTGAGTAAATTACAGAATTAGCTTGAGGAGAGAGACTCACACGTGATCCTGGAAACCCGAAACAACCAGAAACCAGTCTGGACCTTTTCCCAAAGAACATCTTCCTATGAAAGCCATATTGTAAGAGCTATATTATTGTTTCTATAGTGCATGTGTTTTCAGCATGTTCACATCAGCTTGTTCTTCTCCCATCACCCAGTGGACCTCACCGACCTGAACCGCTCGAACACCGACCACTTCGTTCCACTTCGTTCCTGTCCACGCGAGCCGTTCCTTCAGGGGCCATCGCCACGCACGTGCACGGGGACTTCGTGGCCGTGAGCAGCGGGCGACCGAAAGTGCGGTACTTCACAGCGGAGGAGCGGCGGACGTCCACGACGTCCCGGAGGGTTTGGGTTTGGAACTGCTCAGAACTCGGCAAGCTGCAGCTATTGCAAGATGTATACATACTTATTCATTATGCCATAGTAAATTGTTATGTAATAATATATATATATACGATTTTTCGGTTTGCCATGGTCTTGTAGGTTGGCTAGGTCGGCAAAGCAATTTTCCGTAGCCATTTTGGCTCAAGCATACAGGCAGCACACGGTTCATTTTTCAAATCAACAGGCAGCACACGGTTCCTTTTTCAGATCAACAGGCAGCACACGGTTCCTTTTTCAGATCAACCTGTCTTGTCGACTATCTCTTGGACAGGTTTTTCGCTTTGCATCCTTTAGGCCTTTCTTTACCAAATCGTTCATGCCGTTGCTGCCGAAAAGAAAATGGATGCACCCTCCTGATGAAGAACTTCCTCACTTCTTGCTGCACAGGGACCACCCCAGATCCAATTTTTCTGCTCATGCAGAGGAACAGCCACGAAAGCTTTTGCTGCCCAAGCCAAAGTACCACTTTGTGATCCCACCTGGCCAAAGCGCAGCGGCCTTGACGCCGGACCTGCTCTCTGGAGACAGCAGCGGGCCGCCTTTGGCTTCATCTTCATTAGTTTCTCCTTTCAGGTCGGCTCCTTTGTTCAAGATGATCCGGCACCATCGCTCTGCAGCACCTTCTACAACTCAGCAGCAAGAAGCCTCCAAGATGTCCGTTCTTCAATCCGAGTGGGCTAAGATTTACTTTTCTCGGTCCCTTCAGCAGAGTCTATCTAAATACGGTAGCCAGCAAACATAGAGCAGTTCACATTCAGAGTATTATCAAGAAATTCAGCCCACTCTCCCTGAAACGGCATTTTCAGGTCTGGCTCGCTTTTTGTGAGTGGTGCTCCCCTTTTGGTTTGCACCCCGCACAAGTTCAACCTAGTGTTTTTCTTGACTTCGCGTACGAGGCCTCTATCAAGAAAGATAAAGGATCCATCAACCCCCTCATCCTCATCAAGTCTTTACGGTTTATCGCTAAATATGCTGAGATCGACCCCCTGAAAGAGTTTCTTTGGTCACCGTCTATTTCAGCCTTTTTTGCGTCAGAAAGGAGGCCCCGAAATCCACGTGAAGTGTTTCCTCTCCCTTTCCATTTCGAAGTTGGTCTTGAACGCATAGTGATGTCTCATGCATGCCCTCCGTCAACCATTCTTCAAGCTGGTAACTTTTTGTTTTTATTTTGGTCCGGCATGCGGTTTCAAGACCTTCAACGGACTCCCTTAAATTCATTTTCTTTAGAGCAAGGGGTGATCCGTTGCTTCAGTGAGCTGACCAAAGCTGGCCACCCTTCCGCCGCAGCTGCTTTGGCCTGCGGCCTTTTATCTTCTACAAGGCGGCTGTTCTACTGAGGCAACTCGGCACTCACAGCCTTATGTGCCCAGCTTATTCAGGTCCTGAATTGCACACGATCACAGTGCACAGCTGCAAATCCTCTTTGATCCACGCGGGCCGATCACTCGATCTCCCCGAGCACTGGATCATCGAACAAGGACACCATGCAAACGTGTCACAAACAAAGCGGTATGCAAGAGATGATACTTTGTCCCAACTGCGACTCCAAGTGCGGATAGCGTCGGAAATCCGCAAGGGCTGGCGCCCTATGGTGCCGATGGCTAGAGGGGGCAAGTCCCCCGTGGACGCAAAAGCTTTTGGTACCGCGCCTCCTGACATTGACTGGCCGCCTTTTTTGTGGAGCCCTTGCGAACCAAGCTCCAACCCTGAAGGCGTGGCCGCAGATGTTTCCGAATCCGAATCAGGTCCTTCTTCAGTTTCTGACACTTCTAGATCCCCACGGACCCGTTCCGTCCCAACCACACCACAAGCTTGGGAGGACAAAGAGGGGGATCCTTTCAACGACCCCAGCAATCCCAATGAATTTATTTTAAACCCGCGCTCCAAGATTGCACACGTATCAATCTTCAATGGAGACGCATGGAGGCCAGCCTGTGGACTGAAACTTGGATGCCAGGAGAAATCCCTGGCCACCTCTATTCCTTCGGATTTCGAATAATGCCTGCGCAGAGGATGTAGTTAAAAATGGGTCACCAAACAATTGCAATTTTGATTTTCAGCTCTCTCCTTAGTTGAGGGCAGAGATGGTAAGAAACGTTTAGTTTCTAGCCTATTCCAGTCGTGGTTTCTGCATTGGTTGTTATACATTCTGCTACCAATTATACGACACTGTTATTTTCCAACCGGATGCTCGGACGACCGTTCTCTTCCGTACACACCTTTTGATTTTTTTGTGGACCAAGAGACTCAGTGACAAGTTGACACCTGGCCTCAGCTGGGCTCCCGAGGTACTTTGGGCGTTATTTGTTTGTCGAAATTCGGAGTGTCTCGGCTCTAGCTGGCATCCCCTCCCCTTACACGAAGTTCCCAAGTCCCAAAACATGGACGCTCCAGAAGTGCATCCGCTCGATGCGGAATTTGTCCACACCATGGTCTCCTGTCATGTCCCAGAATGGATTCAAGACCACCTGAAACACCAAGGTTTTCATTCAGCAGATTTGTTTCGCTTTGCTTTTGTCGACTCGGACGCTCTCGAATCGTTCATTCAGAAATTGCTGCAGCCAAGCGACGGCGACGATGCTTGGAAATCCTCTCCCCAGGCTGCCTCGGTTCGACTGCTACACCACCGCATTTCCGACAGGCAATATGTTTCTGAGGTCACCGCCCCCCCCGAGGGCTCTGAACCAGTGGAATCCAACCAGCTTCTGCAGCTTGCGTGGGCTGAACTACCCCCTAAGAGAGTTCGGGACTCAGAGTTCGTTCGCCTCAAAAAAGAGTTTTCCCACAAGTACCCTTCTGAATTGTTGACCACTAGTTCTACACCGTGTGTCCGTTTGCTAAGCACAATCCTCCAGCAGAAGGAGCGAAATTGTTACCAGTGGCTGCCATGGCGCGAGTTACTTTCCGAATCAAAGGCTATCGATCTGAATGAACGTGGCCGCAAACGGCAACGCATCGAAGGCCTCTTGGTTTTCGATACGGCATTGGAAGTCGAGGATTCCGATGTCTCCGCAGCCCCGTGGGCCTTAGCTACCATGTTTGAAGTTCGGCGAAATGCGTTCGCCCTCGCCCAGGTATGTCACCTGGCAGCAATGAAGTCTTATGACCAGGCTTTCATGAAACTCTACACCGCCAAACCGTCCGATGGTCTTCGCCCCCCCAACATGAAGGAAGCCCAGCAAGCAGACAGGGACCTTTGGAGTACTATTTTCCGACTTTGCAATGAAAAGTCTTGGGACATGGAAAATGCCATTATAGAAGTTGTTGAGACCCGCAACCTGATGGATGTCCACATGATGGCCAGACCGCGTGCCATCCAACCTCTCCCACATCCTAAGGGTAAAGGCAAGATAAGGCAAGCATAAGGATAAGGGGCCCAGTAAAGGTAAAAGCAAGGGCACCGACCAGAAGGCCCCATCGACACCATGGCCTTCTTCTTGGGCTGCCAGCCACGGCGACAAGAAGTTTTGCTTGCGGTTCCACACGTCCGCCAGGTGCAGTTATGGTGCAGGCTGCAAGTTCAGCCACGATTGCCCCGTCCTTGTCGGCTCCAAACCATGCCTCAAGAACCATGCCGCCCGGGACCACGCTCAGCCGTTTCAGCCGAAGAACTGACTCTGTGAGCCACCACCCACCGGGAATGACCTCTCAGCACCTGCTCCAGGTTTTGAGCCTTTTCCACCTTCCCACAATTTTGTCAGTTTTCTTCCGCTCCCTAAAGAACAAAACAGTTTTTCCGAGTCATTGGCTCCGACGCACACTGTTTCACCACCACTCGTCCAAATCCCTGTGTGCGTATCTAGTGCCAAATCTAAGCCGCCCCTAGAAGAGTCCTTTTCTGAGTTGCAAGCCCTCATTCGCATTGATGCCTGCCCAAGCCAACCTGTTTCACGTAATGTTATTCTTGAATTATGTGAAGGACCCGATGCGCCGCTCTCAACAGCTGCCGCCAGCCAAGGCTACGTTTTTCTCAAAGATGCAGACCTTTGGCCACTGCAAGGCTCCGCCATCCTGCAGGATAGACATTTTTACAAACTCCTTTCCCTAGCCAGAACAGGGGTAGTAGTGTATTGGCACGCAAGCACGGGTTACCTGGCTACGTCGGCCGAAACGAACATCGCAGGTTCCACCGACAGCCCTACCGTGTTATCCCGCACGTTGCACATTTTGCATGTTGCACACCTACATGGGGCGACAGTTTCGTTTGACCAACCACTAGGGGCTAGCTCTTGGGAGGAGCCTGAAACCGTGAGAGCCATGAATTCTTTCCTAGCGTTCGAAGCCGTGATAGCACCTTGCCACTGGGATCCCACTGGCACCGAGCAGCCCACCCCGGTGCGGCGCTTTCGTTCCACTTCCATCCGGATCCGCTCCGCCCACCGGCCTTGCTCTTGCCCCTGTGAACATATTTCCCCTGGAGGTGGTCTTCATGTGTTTACGACCACATGCCCACAAGTGATCGCCACACATGTGGTGCAAGCTCTCCTGCCCCCACTGCCAGACAAAGCCAGTCCTCTCAGTGTGGACAGCCTTTGGACTTCGCTCCCCCCACACCCACCCCACCGAGGTTCTTACATTCCAGATGGTGGCGGGCTCCACAGTAGTGCGGAGTGGCCGCTCCCATTCTGTGCGGATGTATTCAAGCCGCTCCGGGATCGCTTGCTGGGTTTGTTCTTAAGTAAGGACATCGTCCACGCTCTGACTACGGCACTTAAGTCCGAACCCCCCTATGACCCTTTTACGCGGGAATTGTCCACCCTGTCTCCGCATGTTTTGGATGCATTTCACACATTCATCCAAAGCCAAGGTCTAGACCCTGACATATCCATTCCCGTAGGCCAACCTTTCCGCCTTCAGGCATTCCAGTCATTGGCATCCCTATAGCCGAGGACAATGATGTCGCCTTGTTTGACCTGCTCAAATCAGGGGTTCGGCTGGGAACCGATGGCCCTTTGCCTCCCAGCGGCTCTTGGCCTTTGAAGACCGACGCCACTAAGGACCTCGAGTCAGCCCGGATGGCTGCCTCAGATTTCACCTTGGCTGATTGCAATTGGTCTTCAGCTGAACAATCCCCCGAACTTGTAGGGCAACTCATCCAAACCGAGATAGAAGATGGTTATGTTACCCACATCCCCGGCGGTCTGCAAGAAATCAAGGCCAGGTGGGGTACCCGTGTAGCTGTAGGTCGACTTGCAGTGGCCACCCATCCAACGCGCAATCCGCGCCTAGTCCTGGATAGTTCGGTGTGCGGGGTCAACACAGCGGCAGCCGCTTCCATTCCTGAGAAGACTTTCAACCCAAGCCTGGCTGATCTTCGCTCCGCTCACACCCTGGGTCACGCACAACAGACCACCCTCTTGTCCCTCGACATCAAAGCCGCACACAAGCGTATACGTGTTCATGAGCAGGATCAGGGTTACTTAGCGTTCTCATATCGGACCGCCGGCCGTCAATACTGGTACACCTACAATGTCACGCACTTTGGGGGGACCTTCTCCGCATGGTATTGGTCCAGACTCGGGGGGGCTCTCCTTCGACTGCTGCACCGAGTCCTTTATTGTCGTCATACTGCCGTCCTCTACGTCGACGACTTTCTCTTCCTCTTTGATTCACCAACCGCTCTTCTGCAGTCCGCCATCGTGTTGGCCACCCTCCATTACCTTTCAGTCCCTATCAGCTGGTCCAAGCTCCAATTCAGCTCTTCCGTCAGTTGGATAGGTTGGCAGATAGATTCCTTCCAGGACCTGGTTTCCGTTCCCCCGGCCAAAGTCAAACGCATTGTTGACCTCCTCGTCCACGTTACATCCTCCAAGCGGGTTTCCCGAAAAGCTTTGGAGCAGCTCGCAGGCAATCTCCTTTGGCTGTCAGAGCATGTCCATGTTTTGCGTTGGTACCTCGGTCCCTTGTACACTCTTCTTCGCAAGCAGGGTGTCCAACTGGTGCACCTTCAGCAACCGACGTTGAGAAACTTGTTGGGCAGTCTCACTGACTCCTTCACCACGTCAGTGCCTCTAAACGCACCATTTATCCCACAAGGCTCCAAACTTCAACGAGTTGGTACAGTTCAGGCCGCTGACTGCGCATCTCTGACTACCCTCACTGCGCACTGTGGTCACCTGCAGCACGCATGGTGCTCGTTCATCAACACCCGGTCCAATTTTGGTTAAGCTACTTCCTGATGACGTGTCCCTTCTCCAGGCCATGCACTCCGTCATTCTCATGTCAGACATGTCCATCAGCCTATCCCTCATTCCTCGCTTTCAGATCAAGGCCGCTGCCGATGCCTGCGCTGACGAAGCTTCTTTTGGACTTGGAGCATGGATCGAGTTCCCAAGCGGGCTCACCTCATGGTGTGCTTACCAAGGTACCCCAAAGGACTTGCCCTCCTGGCTGGCGGACCACCCGCCCCAACGCCTGATAGCCTCATTAGAGCTTGCAGCTCAAGTGCTGACATTGATGTTGTTGATCCAAATCGCACACCACCCTTCCCAATTTGAGATAGTTAGTGGACTGGACAACCAATCCGCTGAGGGAATCCTTTGTCACGGGTTTACCACGTGTATTCCAGCAACCAGGGTCCTGCAAATTCTTAATGTTCTCCTACAATTTTCCCAGTCGAGGCTCACACCGTACCGCCTGTCTTCGCAAGACAATTGGAGAGCTGATCACCTGAGCCGTGGTCACTTCAGCCACGAGTCTCCGCAGACTCGATCAGCCTTGCCACTCTCCAACCTGTGGGATGCTTTTGGACTATTGGAGTAACATGGCATTTCAGGCCGCGCTTTCTGGAGAGGTGTGCAGCTAAAATGCCAGCAGCCTGCACTAGTCCAAGGGCGTGACGCAGGCGCTGGCATCGTTACATTGGCCGCGACTGGCC